CTACGGCCCAAGAAACCCCAAGAGCTCCCAAAGACCGCCCAAGATGCCCAAGACGGCCTCAAGAGGCCCCCAAGACGGCCGAAGAGGCCTCCAAGACTCTCAAGATGGCCTCCAAGACGGCCCAAGAGCTCCCCAAGACGTCCTCCAAAAAGGCCCGAAAGGCTCAAATTGGCCTCCAGGCGGCCAAGATGACCTTCAAGATGCCGACGTGTTCCCCGAAGGCTTTCCAAATCGATTCGGAGAAACGTGGTCCGACAGCTTGGCAGGTCTGGCCTCAACGTTCGGCCACATAGGCGCTTCCACAAAGGCAGGGGGCGGCGGTGATTCGCCGTAGGCGTCTTCGATCCGCCGCCCCCTGCCGATTCATCAGGGGTGCCTGGCGTGCTGAATCATTTCGGTTTTGGTGTTGGTTCTGGTTCTTTTTCAAACGAACTCCCCCTGGGGCTTCGGCCCGTCCCGCCGGCCACCCAGAAGGCCAGCAATTCTCCGAATGGTTCGCTCAAGATGACCCAAGATGGTCTCCAAGATGGCCACGTTGGCCCAAGACAAGATGGTCCAAGATGGCGTCCAAGTCCGCCCGAGATGGTCCGAAACGGCCTCCCATACGGCCCAAGAGAGTCCAAAACGGCCGAAGACGGCCCAAGAGGCCCCCCCAGAGGCATCAAAGACTGCCCAAGAGGCCTCCAAGAGTTCCTCCAGGATGGCCCGAAGAGGACAAAATCATTGATGTTCCTTGGATGTTTGAAGGATTCTCACATTCGCTTCGTCTCGGCTTTCCGACGACCCAAGACGGCCCAAGAGGCCCCCAAGATCGCCCCACAGCGCCCAAGAGGCCTCCAAGATGGCCTCAGGACTGCCCAAGAGGCCCCATGAACGGGCCACGAGGGCACAAAAACTACCCAAGAGGCCTCCAAGACGCCCAAGATGGCCTCTAAGACGGCCCTGGAGCATCCCAAGAGGGCCCCAAAACGGCCCAGAAAGGCCCCCCAAAAGGCTTCCGACGGCGTCAGACGGGCCAGGAGCCCACCAAGATTGCCGAAGCTGGCTCGAAGCGGGCCCAAGACGTCCCCAAGAGGCCTCCAAGAGGGCCTCCAGGAAGGCCAGGAAAATGCCAATAACACTTATTTTCGCAGGATTGTGACCTTTGCTTCGGTTCGGCCTTCCGACGGCCCGATACGGCCCACGAGCCCCCAAAGATCGCCGCCTCCAAGATGGCCCCAGAACGGCCCAAGAGGCCCCCAAGACAGCCCCAAGAGGCCCCCAAGACGGCCCAGGAGGCGAGATGGCCTCCAAGACGGCCATGGAGCATTCCAAGAGGGCCCCAAGTCGGCTCACAGAGGCCCCCCAAACGTCTTTCGACGGCGTCGGACGGGCCAGGGGCCCACCAAGACGGCCGAAGATGGCACTCAGAGTGCCCCACACACGGCCCAAGAGGCCTCCAAGAGGGCCTCCAGGAAGGCCCGAAAATGCCCAAATCATTGATGTCCCATGAGTTTTTGAAGGATTGTGGCATTTGCTTTCTGTCGGCCTTCCTACGGGCCAAGGCGGCCGAAGTGCCCCCAAGGAGCCCTCCAACACGTCCTCCAAGGAGGCCCGAAAGGCTCAAAATGGGCTCCAGGCGGCCAAGATGACCTTCAAGATGCCGACGTGTCCCCCGAAGGCTTTCCAAAGCGATTCGGGGAACACATGGTCCGACAGCTTGGCAGGTCTGGCCTCAACATTCGGCCACATAGGCGCTTCCACAAAGGCAAGGGGCGGCGGTGATTCGCCGTAGGCGTCTTCGATTCCGCCGCCCCCTGTGGTCTTGCCACAAGGGTGCCGGGCGTGCTGGATCCTACACGGGATGCTTGTGGTTCTTTTCAAACGAACTCTCCCTGGGGCTTCGGCCTGTCCCGCTGGCCACCCGAAAGGCCGCACAAGGCCCGCAATTCTCACAAAGAAATTCCCAAGACGGCTCAAGATGGCTTCAAGACCGCCAAGATGGCCCAAGATGACCTCCAAGGTGCCTCCATTATGGCCAAGATGGCCTCCAAGGTGGCTGAGATGGCCCCAAGATGCCTCCAAGACGGCCCAAGAAGCATCCAAGACGGCCTAAGATAGCCTCAAGATGGCCCAAGAGGCCTCCAAAAGGCCTCCAAGACGGCCGAAGAGGCCTCCACGAGGTCCTCCAGGAAGGCTCGAAGAGGCCAACCTCATTGATTTGTCCTAGGTGTTTGACGGATTTAATAAGTTGCGCCTTTTCGGCCTTCAGACGGCCCAAGAGGCCCCCAGGGTCGCCCCGAGACCGCCCACGAGGCCTCCAAGATGGCCCCATGACGGCCCAAGACGCACCCAAGACGGCCCCAAGAGGGCCCCAAGAGGCTTCCAAGACGCCCAAGATGGCCTCCAAGACGGCCCTGGAGCACCCCAAGAGGGCCCCAAGTCGGTTCAGAGAGGCCCCCGAGACGGCTTCTGGCGGCGTCCGACGGGACAGAAACCCACCAAAACGGCCCAAGATGGCTCTAAGATGGCCCAACACGGCCCAAGAGGCCTCCAAGAGGTACGGCCCAAGAGGCCTTCACGAGGGCCTCCAGGAAGGCGCGAGGATGCCAAAACCATTGAGTTTTCGCAAGTGTATGAAGAATTGTGATTTGTTCTTCGTTTCGGCCCTCCGACGGCCCGAGAGGCCAAAAAGCCCGGAAAATCGCCCAAGAGGCCTCCAGGATAGTTCCAGAACGGCCCAAGAGGCCCCCAAGACGGCCCCAAGAGGGCACAAAAACGACCCAAGAGGCCTCCAGGACGCACAAGATGACCTCTAAGACGGCCCTGGAGCACCCCAAGAGGGCCCCAAATCGGCCCAAAAAGGCCCTCCAACCAGCTTCCGACGGCATCAGACGGGCCAGAAATGTTCCCGAGAAGCCCCCAAAGGTCCCAGAGAGGTCCAAGGACGCTCCCAGGAGGCCTCCAAGAGGCTCCCAGGACGCTCCCAGGATGCCCTAAGAGTGCCCCCAGAGGCTCCCAAGACGCTCCCTCCTCCTCCTCCTCCTCCATCTCCTCTTCCTCCTCCTCCTCCTCCTCCTCCTCCTCCTCCTCTTCCTCCTCTTCCTCCTCGTCCTCCTCGTCCTCCTCCTCCTCTTCCTCCTGCTCCCCCTCCTCCTCCTCCTCCTCCTCCTCCTCCTCCTGTTCCTCCTCCGCCTCCTAATCTTCCCCGACATCCTCCCCCAGAAGTTCCCCGAAGGGTTTCCACAACGGTTGGGGGAACACATGGTCCGATAGCTTGGCAGAGCTATTGCCACAACGCTCGGCCACATGGGCGATTTCAAAAGGCAGGGGGCGGCGGTGATTCGCCGTAGGTGTCTTCGATAGCGCCATTGTTTCAATATGCGCTTATGATTCCTATCCCCACCCCCATGATGTTCCCAGATGCGCCACGGCAGCGCCGAGACGCACCGAAGCGACGCATCGGGCCGGCGGCAAGGGGCGACGCCCTTACGGATAATGGGGTGTGACCCACAGTGGGCGCTCAAGAGAAGGGCTCTGAGAAGGGCTCTGAGAAGGGCCCTCCAGGGCCCCTGCTGGGGCAAGCAAGGGCCTAAAGGGGACCCGACAGGGTCCCCTCGGGGTCCTCTTCTTCACCCCCCGCCTCGGTCCCCCCCCCCGCTGCCACCCGCCCGAGCAACCGCCTCCCCGCCCCCTCCCGTCCCCCCTCTTCCCTCCGGAGGAGGGGGGGAGGACGGGGATGAGGAGGAGGAGGGGGAGGAGGGGGAGGAGGAGGAGGAGGAGGAGGAGGAGGAGGAGGAGGAGGAGGAGGAGGAGGAGGGCTGTCCTCCCGCCCCCCGCCCCCTCTCCGCCAGCGGGGGCGCCCTCGGCAGAGGCGCGGCCCCGACAGTCCCCGCCGGAGCGACGCGTGCCGCACGGCGACCGCGGCCACCACGGCCAGGATCAGGCCGGGCATGCGGGCGGATGTTGGTGACTACCTACCAGACCACCCCAACCCAACCCGAAGACCCGAATTTCGGGTTGGGGGGGGTAAGGGTTCACATGTGTTTTTTCGATGTTCCGCGACCCCCCCCCCACTGGAAATGGAGGGCAAATCTGAGCCTTCGGGTTGGGTTGGGGTGGTTTGGTGGGCGGTGAGGATCAGGCCGGGCATGCGGGCGGATGTTGGGCGACGACTGAAACAGACTCAAACACAACACCAGAAGAGTCAAAACATGCCAAAGAAATCGCCCCCAGACAACTCTTACGCCGTGCTTGAACATGCCTCCTGCAGAGCGACAGGCCCGACCGAAGGCCGGGACGAAGACGACCACGGCGAGCACCGCGGCGACGCCAGAGGCGGCGACGGCAGCGACGAGGGAGCCAGGCAGGCATGCAGGCATGCAGACAGGCACGAAGGCGGAGGCAGCACACCCTCGCGCCGACAGGCCCGGGCGACGAGCAGACGGAGGAGCGCACGCGCCGATCAGCAGCAGACGGCGGACGGCGAAGCCAGCGGGCACGCGCGGGCGACGGCCTC